TGTGCCCACATCTTTGAAGGTTGCTTTCTTGCCATTGATGTGATAAGAGGAGGAATTATCTTTGGCAGCAGTTCTCGACACGTAGAAAGAGCTGTTGGGAATGACATCGTAGTCGTCTCCTTCCTGAACACACAGAGGACAACAGGGACAGGTAGACTTCAGGGGTTTCAAACACTCATCGAACATCTAATGTGACAAACAGATTTTGTCAAGTACAAATACGCAGTGCAGTCCCTCAATTCAAGTATGCTACTAAAAACTAAATCAGGGCCTGAATTTCAGCACAGCATTTTGGGTATTGTGCATAATTTTACTCCATCCTGCAAGTATTTATTCACTAAATACACACACGTGTAGGCTGAAGGAGCCTCAATGCAAGTCTGAAATCAAACTTGCTTGCGTTGTGTAGGCTACTGTGTGACAAAAATGCCCTCAAATCACCAGGCTGTGCAGTCTAAAGGATCTCTCTTGATCGTGTTGGGCGATATGTTCAATTGTCATATCAGCCTGTGAGAACGCCGATACATGATACTATCGTCTATCCGCACAACCCTGCTCTCTAATAATATAAACATGATTTAGCAGACAAAACTGAACTAATAAGAAGCATAAAGTATCGGGTCAGCTTTATTTTTTAGCGCATTTGTAAAGCACTCTTCATCAAACTGCTTAAAATATGTACTGCACAAACACAGTGAACACGCAATCATTTAGGTGAGAATCATGCTTTAAAAAATTAAAGTGGGAAAACGGAATTTCGGAAATGAATTTCAAGACGTAAGGCCCCGCAAGTGTGCTACTTATGCAAAAATAAAAGAAAAATGTATAAAGAAGTATAATGCTGACAGTGCAGATTTAATTTGTACTGCCAGTTAAAAGTAAAATAATCTATAATTTATGGCCTCTAATGTTCTGACTTTAAAATGAAACTGAATTGACTGTGGAGAGAGAGATCTGTGCATGTGTGCTCTTCCTCACTAGGCCTGGCTCACCTTGTCGATGATCTTCTGGAAGTGCAC